TACTGAGGGAGTGCTGCACTGTCGGAGAGTCAGAGCTGAGGGAGTGCTGCACTGTCGGAGGGTCAGAGCTCAGGGAGTGCCGCACTGTCGGAGGGTCAGTGCTGAGGTAGTGCCACACTGTCGGAGGGTCAATGCTGAGGGAGCGCTGCACTGTCAGAGGGTCAGCATTGAGGGAGTGCCGCACTGTCGGAGGGTCAGCACTGAGGGAGCGCCACACTGTCTAAGGGTCAGTGCTGAGAGAGCGCCGCACTGTCGGAGGGTCAGTGTTGAGGGAGCGCTGCCCTGTCGGTGGGTCAGCACTGAGGGAGTGCCGCACTGTCGGAGGATTGGTACTGTGGGAGTGCTATGGTTCCGGTTGACCAGTACTGTACTTAGATCCATTTATTCCTCTTCTCACAGTCATAGAGTCAAACAGCATGGAAACAGATTTTTGGTCCAACTTGTCCATCATGACCAAGTTTCCCAAACTAAGCTCGTCACACTCACCTGCATTTGGCCCATATTGCTCTGAACCTTTTCTGTTTATGTACCAATCCAGATGTATTTTAAATGTTGTAACTGTATCTGCGTCTACCAGTTCCTCTGGCAGTTAATTCCACATACGAGCCACCCTATTATGAAAAAGTTGCACCTCCGGTCCCTTTTTTGATGTTCCTCCTCTTACCTTAAAAATATGTCCTCTAGTTTTGAACTTCCCTACCCTAGGGAAAAGACCTTTGCTATTCTCCTATGCCCCTCATGATTTTATAAACTTCTATAATGTCACCTACAACCTCCTGTGCTCCTGAATAAAAGCATTAGCCTATCCAGCTTGTCCTTATTAACTTAAACCCTCTAGTCCCGGTAAAATCCTTGTTAATCTTTCCTGAAGCCTGTCCGATTTAATAATATCCTTCCTGTAGCAGGACGACCAGAACACTGCGCAGCACTTCCAACAGTGGCCCCACCAATATCCTGTACAACCTCAATATGATGTCCCAACTCCTATTATCAATGTTCTGAGCAATGAAGGCGAGTGTGGTAAACGCCTTCTTAACCACCCTGTCTACCTGTGATGCAACTTTCAAAGAACATTGCGCCTGAACCCCTAAGGCTGTCTGTTCTACAACACCAGCCAAGGCCCTACCATTAGTTGTATAAGTCCTGCCCTTGTTTGTTTTACCAAAAGGTAGTACCTTGCAATTATCCAAATTAAAATCTTATCTGCCACCTCTCAGCCTGTTGGCCCAGTTGATCAGGATCCCGATATATTCTTAGATAACCTTCTTCGCTGTTGTTTATGCCACCAATTTTGATGTCATCCACAAACTTACTGACCATGCCTCCTCAATTCTCATTCAATTCGTCTATATAAATGACAAACAAAAGTGAACCCAGCACCGATACTTGGGGCACACCGCTGGTCACAGGCCTCCAGTCTGAAAAGCAACCCTCGACCACCACCCTCTGTCTTCTACCATAAAGGCAATTTTGTATCCATTTGACAAGCTCTCCCTGAAACCCATGTGATCTAACTTTACTAATTAGTCTAACATATGGAACCTTTTCAAAGGCTTTACTAAAAAGTCCATGTAGACAACGTCTACCACTCTGTGTCATCAGTCTTTTTGGTTATGCCCTCAAAAAATCAAGTTTGTGAGACACGATTTCCCACACGCAACACCGTGCTGACTATCCCTATCAGTCTTGCCTCTCCAAATGCATGTAAATCCTATCTCTCAGGATCCTCTCCAACAACTTACCCACCACTGATGTCAGGCTCACAGGCCTATAGTTCCCTGGCTTTTCCCTACAGCCTTTCTTAAATAAAGGCACAGCATTAGCCACCCTCCAGTCCTCAGGCACCTCACCCTTGGCTGTAGATGATACAAATATCTCTGCTAGGGGCCCTGCAATTTCTTACTTAACTTCCCACAATGTCCTGAGATCAGGTCCTAGAAATTTATCCACCTTTATGTTTTTTAAAACCTCCAGCACTTCCTCTTCTATAATGTGGACTGTTTTCAAGACATCAATGTTTATTTCCCCGAGTTCCCTAGCCTCCATTTCTTTCTCCACAGTAAAAATCGATGCAGAATATTTGTTTAGAATTTCTCCCATCTGCTGTGGTTCTCCACACAGATGCCATTGTTGATCTTTAAGTGGCCCTATTCTCTCCATAGTTGCTCTTTTGCTCTTAATGTACTTGTACAAACTTATATAACCATAGCAGTTGTTAAACCTTCAACTTAATCCGTTATTTTACACTTGGCATAATGCATCTGCAATTTACATTGGTGAGTGAGGACCAGTGGCACCCTATTGCAGTTGTGGGAGGGAAGAGAAGGCATGAGGGCTGAAAAGTGGGAGATGGGTCAGACACAGCTGAGGACCCTGTTAACCATGGTGAGGATGAAGGTGGACATTTCAGAGGCCCCCGTGTCAGCATTGGAACAGATGCAAAGGAGAAGGAAGAATGGAATAAAATGGAAGAACGACACTGAAAGAATGGAATGGAGTCTTTACAGGAAGCAGGACATGAGAATTTTAGCCCAGGTAACTGTGGGAGTTGATGGGTTTGTAGTGGATATTAGTGGGCAGCCTATACCCAGCAATGGAAACAGAGATGTCGAGGAAGGGAAGGGAGGAGTCAGACATGGATCAGGTGAAGGTGAGAGCAGGGTGGAAATTGGAAACTTTGCAGTTCAGGACGAGACAAGGAAGCAACACCAAGCATCCCATGGAGAAAGAGGTGTGGGTGGGAGCCAGAGTAGGACTGAAACAAGGAATATTCTGTGTATCCCACAAAGAGATAGGCATAACTGGGGCCCATGCAGGTACCTGTGGTCACCTCTTTGGCTTGAAGAAAGTGGGAGGAGTTAAAGGAAAAGGACATACAACTGTACTAGTTCAAACCCGAATCCTCTTATAACATCTGCCAAAATACACATACACACAGACAAAACAAAAATTAGTGCTGTGGGCAATTGTAAAAACTGTTCACTGTCCACATCCTTCACAGAGATGACTATTTTTCTTGCCAAGATTTTCTGACCTTCCAGATTCTTTTCACTTCTTCCCACAAAAGAGGATTAAAGGAAAGCAATAGCATTGCTTAGTACTTAAGAATAAGGTAGAAATAAGGTAGTTATAACATAGTGAAAGGATTTCCATTACAGTCCAGTAAAGGGTTCCAAACAGCAGCAGCTCAGCACGTGGTGCCAGGCCCAAGTCCAGCAACTGACCCACATCTCTCCAGCCTCCAGTCTGCTCCTCCCCAGCACTTAGCAGCAACAAGGTAAGTCGCGCTGTGCCAGGATTTGCTTCACCTCTCCGTGCCGCTCCGGGACTCAGGATTATCCTGCTGCCGTCAGCCTGCCTATCGCTCCGGGACCTGCGACTCAGGATTCCCCAATGCTGGAAGAACAACACCTATCATCTGCTTGGAGATCTTGCTACCTTCAGGATTTGACATTGAGTTTAACAATTTAAGAGCATGAACACCTTCCATGTCTGTTACCCAAACCCCATGTTCTAGATTCCGTCATGAAATGGGTTACTTTTGGCACAACCACCCCATTTTCACCAATGCAGTCGTCTTCTCTGACTCACTGTCAACAATCTCTTTGCCGGCCCAGTTTTCTTCCTCTTTCTCACTGGGCTCCTTCTCCACCTGTCTACCTCCCCCGCCATCCCAGGTCAATAGTTAAAATACCTTCCTAGTTCTGTAAAGGGGCCACTGGATTTAAAATGTTGATTCTGTTTTCCCTTCACAGTTGCTGCCAGACCTGTTCACCAGCAAGTTCTGTTTTTGTGACTTGTTGCCAGCTGATTCTCACTTTGTACACACCTCCCAGCCCTCTCCTTCTTACACACAGCCTCCCTCAGTATTAACGTGACTTACGATGAGTTTCAGTAAATTGCTTTTAAAGAGTGCAGCAGTTCCTTCCACAGTGCTTGATTTTAAAAGTCCTTTTCCCATTTCAGTCACAATCCAAAATACGGGAAAATGAAAAGATACAATCTGTGCATGTTACACTCTGTCTGCATCTGACTTCTCTGTTTCCCTCACAACTGCAGGTAAATAATTCTTTGTGTTATTCCTGATCAGTCATGGTGCTACTGAGCCACCCTGGTGATAGATATTGAAGCCTCAACCCTGAGTATATCCTGTGCCTTTGGCACCCTCCTTGCTCCTTCAACTGGTATTCAACATGGAATATTGATTTAGCAGCTTACATGGGTAGGGGGAGGAGACTGGTATTTGGTAGTCAGGAGATTTCCTTGACCTGAAGCCATGAGACTTCTTGGGGTCCTGCTTTGATGTTGAGGACTCCCAGGGCAAACCCTTTCCAACTGTACACCACTCTGCTGTGTCTCCCCTTCCTCTGAGACAAGGCAGAGAATAGAATCCCTACAATGTAAAAGCAGGCCATTTGGCCCATTGAGTCCACACCGACCCTCCGAAAAGCATCCCACCCAGACCCACCCCCATACTCTGTCCCTGTAATCCTGCATTTTTGATAGCTAACCCACGTAGCCTGCACATCCCAGGACACTAGGAGCAATTTAGCATGGCCAATCCACCTAACCTGCACATCTTTGGACTGTTGGAGGAAACCGGAGCACCCGGAAGAAACGTGCAAACTCCACACAGACAGTCGCCTGAGGGTGCTGATGGTGTTTCCCGGGACATTGTGAGGTATGATTCAGTGAGTATTACAGTGTCAGGCTGTACAAAACAGTAATGCTGTCATTCCTTCCTGTGATTATGGGCAGTGCTGTATCCTCAATGTGTCCTAAACTGTTGCATTCTTAGCATCTGCGGGTATTCATTCCTGTGAAACGCAGTGACAACTCACTCAAACATTCTGTTTATTTCTTTGCAGGCTGGTACGACAACCAAATCTTCACTGAAGGTGAGGTGAAAAGTACTTTGAGGTGTAGTGAATGGTGCGATAGAAAGGGAAGTGGAGGGAGAGCTGCACCGTTGAGGGGCCAATACTCTCAGTAGTGGGGAAAGTGCTAGAGTCCGTTGTACACCACCCCCCCCCACCCAGTTGCTGAAGGTAAGCATGTAGGCGCAGCAGGCTACAAAGAAAGCAAATGGTGTGTTGGCCTTCGTAGCAAGAAGATTCAAGTATAGGGGCAGGAATGTCTTGCTGTAAGTATACAGGACTGTATTGAGACCCACACCTGGAATATTGCATACAGTTTTTATCTTCTTGTCTGAGGAAGTATGTTTTTGCTACAGCAAAATTTTACTGACTGATTCTTGGGAATGATGGGACTGACATGTGAGGAAAGGCTGAATCGGTTAGGATTACATTCACTGGAGTTCAGAAGAATAAGGGAGGAATCTCATATAAACCTGTAAAATTCTAATAGGACATTAGATGCAGGAAGGATGTTCCTAATGACTGGAGTGTCTAGAACCAGGGCTCACAGTCTAAAGATATGGTATAGACCATTTAGGACCGAGATGAGAAGTTTCTTCACCTAGAGAGTGGTGAACTTGTGAAATTCGCTACCACAGGAAACACTGGAGGCCAAAACATTGTCTGATTTCAAGAAGGAGTTGGATGTAACACTTGGGGCTAAAGGGATCAAACAACAGGGGGAAATGCATCAACAGACTCAATTTGGATGATCAGCCACGATCTTATGGAATGGCATAGCAGGCTGAAGGGACTGAATGGCCTACTCCTATTTTCTGTGTTTCTATACTGAGGGAGCGTGGCTTCTGCTTTCTGAGCTGAACAAATTTCTGAGTTTTTCCTCAGTGGCTGGTTGTGATAACTGGCATAGAATGATTCCACTTGTGGAGGATTGTCTTCTTTATCAACCTGAACCACTCTTGTTGTGGATAAGGTACTGACAGTTATTTGTGCCATTCCTGGGACCTAGGCTATCATGTGGTAATGCCTTGTTCACCTGAACCTGAGTCTCTGTATTCACAGTGTTGTTTCTGTTGTAACTCTGTTGTAAGTAATGAATTATTGTCTGTTTCGACCTGGAACCTCCGTACTACCATGAGGTAGTTTGGAAATCTTCCACGTCCCCACCTAACGACCAAAGCACCTGTTTCAATTGTAGTATCTCTCTGTTCAGTTTATACTAATGGTGTCAAGTGTGAGCTATACATGCTTCTTGATTCCATCATTCTGTACCTGAATGAGAACACCTTCTGGTTTTGTGGATAAAGTGTCTGCAATCAATATGACAAATAAATGAGTTACCGTGAGTTAATACATCTGAGGAGAGTAGTTTAATCCTCTGAAAACCTGTCGTCTGTTCCTGGCTTCAGTACTATTAACTGGCCTTTCCTCTAAAGCTCTCTTATGGGATGAATGAAACTGGCTAAATTAAGGACGAATCTTCTCAATTGGTGTATCATACGAAAGAAGTGTTGCATTATTTCTGTAGTTTGGTACTAGAAATTCACTTCTGGCCCTCAGCTTTCTGGAATCCATAATGATATCTTGTTGTATTATACATCCCCAAACATAATTGTTGTCCTTGAGAAGTGACATTTCCTGTTGAATGCAAGGCCAGCATTATGTAATGTTCTTAAGACTTCTCTGGTTCTGTTATCATGTTCTTTTTTACCTGCTATGCACTAAGGTATTGTCCATGTAACAAATGGCTTGTAGTCTAGGGGTATCTGTCAAAATATGCTGTCTGCATCTAATTTGGTAAAGAACATGCTTCTTACTAATCTGCCCAAACGGTTGTCGACTGACAAAATTGGATGGACATTTCTTTCCACTCCTTTGTTTAACTGAGTGAGATCCACATACAGTCATAGTTCTCCATCTGATTTGGGAGCTATTAGCAGCCCTGAGCATCATTGTGTTGGCTCTGTTAGCGTGACATGACCCCGCATTTTACCATGCTGTCTAACTGAGATTTTCCCTTTTCTGAGAGTGGATGTGGATTTTTTTCTTGGTTTGTACAGATGAATGGATTTAGCACCTTATTTCAGAGTTATGCAGTATTCCTGCTTTAATTTACCTAAGCCTCTGAATAACTTTGGAAATTCTTGTTGAAATTGCCTTCCATTCTTCTCTTGGAGCACTGTATCCGCTGTGTCTTAGAGACCTAGCTAAGTTCTACTTAAGTGGTGTTCTGGTTCTTCAGTGTGTAGAGAGGCTTGCTGATTTCTCGTCATTTGTGACTTGATTATAGTAATGAATTGGCCACATACCTGAGGATCTGTGCTGCCTGGACTTCACAGTTTTATGCTGTAGGTTGATTGTTCACTGATTCGAATCTAATATCTAATATTGAATCAGCTACCCTTGAATCAAGTTCAAATTCTGCTTCAAACCCTTGCATCTTAAAGATAATTAATCCATCTAGTCCAGGTCTCGCCTGTGTGATTCCAGATCCATAGCAATATGCTTGACTTTTAACTGCCTTCTGCGCAATAAGGGATGGGCAATAAGTGCTGACCCAGCTATGATGAGAAAATGACAAAGTATAATCAAGAAGCAACACAAAACCCCATGAATGAATTTTTAAAAAAATGTCCAGAATCAAAGTTTTGGCAAAGATCTGTAGCTCGGGTTGTGGATGAAGTTGTTGACTTGCTCGATGAAACTTCATCGGAGGCTTCACTGATGATGTCACCTAACATGGTGACAAAATGTCTGAACAAAAACAAGCCAGCTCGGTGAGCAAGTCAACAACCTCAAATGTCCAGAATCTCTGCTGGCTGTCCTTAACCTTCCCTCAAAACTTTTCCTTGTTTATCCTTAATTTCCTGAATCTTTTTCTTTTCCTGTTGATTTCCCTTTGTCAGGAGTTTTTCCGTTGCTAGGTGAAATAACTGCTCGGAGGCTGGTATCCCTTCACCAAGTCACCACATGTACAGTACATGTAGCTAGCTCAGAGCCAGCCCTGAAAGTGGTGTGATTCTCTGACACTCCTGTTTAAATCTGTCAGCCAGGGCTCCCCGATTGGCACAGGTTAACAACCCCAAATCAGGGATCTCATACGAAATGAGATCCACCTGGCCCTTGTTCCAATGACTACATCTCTGTACCCCCAAGTCTAGGGATGTCGGCCTGTTCTTTTTCTTGTAGCTTCTCCTGGGACGTTTTCACACCACGTCAGGTTCCTCCAACTCTGACTCGGATATGGACAACGTGTACTGAACCGTAGCCTGTTTCTTGTGCCTGCAGCGTCTTTGAAGAAATTCCTCCTCTTCCTGGTGGTGGTAACGGTATCCGGTCTATGACATGAGCTGCTTCCATCTCGGACTGTGAGGATTCCTCGACACTAGACAGAGGGGGAGAACCCACGGTTTCTGATAGCCTTTCTGACTGTCCTGAGTGGCCAGGTATGTTTTGCTTCTGCCCCATTTGTGAGGTGGCAGCTTTCATGTGACCCACATGTTCAAGGCTGCTTCGCTTACCCAAACTTTGTATGTCACAGGACCTGACCTCATGTTGGCCTCGCCTTGTGCCCATGCAGGGCCATTTCCGTGGTTTTGACACCAAACTCGATCCCCTGAAGTAAACCACCTCTCTCGCTTAGAGGAGTCTTGTGGCCCTGGCACTGGTGTTCCTGATGCCATTTCATCCTGCCCTCCAACCCGCCAGGTCCTGGAAGATCAGATTTAACCTGGTATAGAGTCTTCTCCCCATCAGCAACTCTGCTGGAGCTATCCCTGTTGTTGACCGTTGTTCTGTAAACAAACAGGAACCGGGACAGTTTGGTATCGAATGAAGGGGTAGGCTGATTCTTTAAGCCTGCCTTCGACAGCTGGACTGCTCTTCCTCCGCCAGACCATTGGACAATGGGTGGTATGGAGCTGTCTGAATATGCCAAATGTCGTTCGACTCTAGGAAATGCTCGAAATCCCTGCTGGTAAGTGATGTCCTGTTGCCATGACCAATACTTCCGGGAGTCTGTGTATTGCGAACCATGCTTGCAACTTGTCAGTTGTCATCCCTGAATGGACTGTATGCACATCCAGCCACTTTGTTCTTGGGTCATTGTGGATGCCCATTCGCTGAGCCACATTCGGTGTAGTTGATGTGTAACCAAGCCCAGGGTTTACCGGGCCATTCCTGCAAATGTGGGGGAGCTGCTGGCAGTAATTTTTGCTCTTGTTGGTACTCTGGGCATTGCTCCACCAACACAGTTACGTCAGTATCCAGTCCTGGCCACCAGGAATAACTTCTCACCAACATCTTCATTTTGGAAATCCCTGGATGACACTGGTGGAGTTCAGGCCAGTATCTGGTGGCAACCTTTGCTCAGGACAATCATTGTTGCTCCCCACAATAATATGCTGTCCTGTACGATGATCTGACCTCACTGGGTCCATCATCATCAGCTGTTTTAGTTTTGCTAGGACAGGATATTGTCAATGGTGACCGGAAAGGTGCCCAGAAAGTTTAAAACCAGAACGGACTCTTCCAGGGTAGGCACCAGTGGTGGAGTGTCACCCAGTGGGAGGCAGCTCAGGGCATCCACATTTGCCATTTGGCCTCTTGGACAATGTTCCAACTTCTAATTGTACACACTGAGAATAAGGACCCACCACTGAATTCAACTTGAAGCTGTGGGTAGCACGGCCTTGTCTCCTTTAAATAGCCCTACCAGGGCTTTGTGGTCTGTTACTACTACAAATTTACATCAGTAAAGGCATTGGTGGAACTTACTCACACCAAAGATGATTGCCAAGCCTTCCTTCTCTACCTGGGCGTATTTTTGTTCGGCATCAGCCAAAATCCAGGAGACGTATGCTTTTGAGCATTCGTCTCCATTGGGTCACTGCTGAGCCAACACTACCCCAATACCATACTGGGAAGCATCGCATGCCAGCACCAGCTCTCATTTGGGATTGTACTGGGCCGACACCTTCGACAATGATAGCTGCTTTGTCACTTCCCTAAAGGCTACTTGGCTATGCGACCATTTCCAAGGCTGACCCGTTTTCGGTAGCAGGTGTAAGGGTGACCAGGTTACATATGAACTTTCTGTAATAATTCACCAACTCCAGGAAAGACCCAAGCTCCAATATAGATGTGGGAGCTGGCACACCTTCCATCACCTTCACTTTAACTTCCAACAAGTGTAACTCCCGTGTGGCTCATGTCCAGTTTCATGAAAAACAGCCACCCCCTCCCTGCCAGTTTTGCGTACAAGTCCTCCATGCGAGGGATTGGGTATTTATCCAGCTGCGAGAAACAATTTACTGTTTGCTTGAAATCCCCACAAAGGTGAACTGACTTGTTGGGCTTCACTGGCCCTGCCCATTTTTTAAACGGTGGTAGTTTGATAATTCCTTTGCTTTCTATCCTCCTGATTTCTGCCTCTACTCTTGCATGTAAGGCAAATGGCAGTGGGTGGGCCATGCAGAATCGCGGAATTGCTTCTTGGTCAGCATGTAAGGTGGCCTTGGCTCCTTTGATAGTCCCTAGACCTTCCTGAAAACCTTCCAGGTATTTAATTGGGACTTCAATCAGGCAGCCCTTTTCTAATCGAAAAATTTGATCCAACCAAGGTGAATATTTTTCAACGAATCTCACCCCATCAAGTTTGGGCCCGAGCCTTTTACTATAATCAGTGGTTATTTCACCAACAGCTTCTCATAAGAGACAGGAACCGAAGTAATACCCTTAAACTGTAAAGGGTTCCCAGTGTAGGTTGTCAGTCTGACTGAGGCCTTGCACAAACTTAAGGGCTGGAGTCCAGAGCGAATCTTGTTAAAGACTGTTTCTGCAATCACTGATACAGCCGCGCTGGTATTGACTTCCATTACTTCTCTTATACTGGAATTGCTGCTTCCACATTTCCAATTTGTGGCCTTGCGCTGGGACCTCAGCATTTTCAAAAAATTATGGCGATACCAGAGATTTAAATACCAGAGATTGTAGCTTGATTAGACAGATTTCAGCAACTAGTTTTATAGTCAGAATTTTATGTCACATGTGCATCATAAAACTCCCGAAACCACTGATTACTTGTTCCCATACATATCCGCCCAGTCAAGTGCTCACGTCCACAGTTATCCCTCACTGAACATACAACCATTAACTGTTCCTGGTTCCATTTGGTTAAGGCCAGAGTTAGCTAGATAATAATATATCCTGTTTTCAATGTGAAATGATCCATGTATAAAAAAAATGGAAAAACAAACAAAAACACAAAGTGACAACACAATGTGTTGTGAACATTGCCATCTTAATCAGTGACTGACCCACATTGACCCAGGAAGTACTTGAACTCTTCTTGATTCAAAGTTTTCCAATTAACGATGTTTGTCCTACTGCTTTGCCTTTGAAGCCTTCCAAACACCTTTCCTGGCCTTCAGTGACTTCCTGCTATTTCTGCATTGTGTTTAAAGTTTTCAGAGGTTCTGACCTGTCCTTTGAATCTTTCTGATCTTTTGCTGTGCCTCATAGACTGTGATCTGACCTCACATCAAGGGCTTTGATGTTTTCCTTGCTGCTGCCGTGCAATGTGTGAACCTTGCTGCTGGCATTCTCAGGTAACATTCACAAATGAATCTGGAGCAATGTTCGGTTGGTTTGACCACATCAATCATGAATGGTCTGAAAATGTTAACATTTGGCTCTGGGTAAAACTGACAGTCAAGGAGATTCAAACCTACAGAGACTTTAAAGAGAAAGAGTACTGGGATGATGGACTTCTGGTACTGCATATTCTTTGACGGTTGCAGTGTGAGCAACGACAGTGGAAATTCCTTAAACGAGTAATGCTGCGGCTATGGGCTGTGACCAAAAGAAAGTATCGCAGCTTCACTGTGCCCTGAACCACTATATCTTCAGAATCTGCTGGTATTGAATACATTTCTGAGTCCAACAATGATAACACAGTTAATGGAAAAATGTTCTTGTCCTTTCTTTCCAGACTGTTTCGAGATCCAGGACAACATTGAAGCAATCCCAGCGGGTATGGTGAAAAGAGCTTTAGGAAAACCTACTGGCTGTCACTTAGACTGCGATTCACAGAAACAATACAGATGTTTGTGTATCACCATGCGGTTTGAGGGACATGCTATCGGAAAACTGTGATGTTTCAAGATATCACAGGAGTGACTGTACAATAACAGCACTTCACAGCCTGCTAAGGGATTTGAGACGTCATGGATGGTATGATAGAAACAGGAATCATGCTGGCAGTATCTCAGAGGGTGGTCCAGTATCTCAGCCGCAAGTCAGAATGCCGTGGGTTTGTGGTTCAAATTCGGGGATTTGAACCCCAACCAGCTGCAGATGCACATCACCAGGTTCTGAGGGAACGCTGCACTGTCGGAGGGTCAGTACTGATGGAGCGCCACACTGTCAGAGGGTCAGTGCTGAGGGGGCGCCGCACTGTCGGAGGATCAGTGCTGACGGAGCGCCACACTGTCGGAGGGTCAGTGCTGAGGGAGCGCCGCACTGTCGAAGGGTCAGTGCTGAGGGAGCGTTCCACTGTTGGAGGGGAGCGCTGCACTGTCAGAGGGTCAGTGCTGAGGGAGCGCCGCACTGCCGGAG